CCCCCCCCCCCCCCCCCGAACCTCATTGACTATACGGGCCTGATATATCATAATACTCAAAATAAAGTAAAGAAAAATTGCACACCGTCGACCTCATTCTCTTGTCCACAAGGTATGAAAGCGCCCGAACGCCTGAATGTCAACAAGCTGAAACTAAACAACATCAAGCAAAACTTTGTTGACACATTGGAAAAAAACATTAAGTCCACTGTAAAAGACAACCAGAGAGTGGAAGCAGCATGGGCTGCATTGCATGAGACATTGTATAATTTTGCTATGAAATGCTTAGAGTATATTCCGTGCATTCCCAGAGATTTAGATCGATCCAGAGATTTAGATCTGGATCGACCTAACTCCCTTGGGGTTCACGCTAAATTGCAGCCAGCCGAGCGCACACGACAGTTAATTACCCCCTTACAGCTTTTAGTAGGTGGGACAGACGCTTAAGCCGGCTAAACTGACAGTAATCTAGTGAGACTCCCCACAGGGATAGATCGATCTAAAATATCTGGAAATGGGGTCTTAGGCCCTTCTACTGGGAAGCACAGAGACTGGTTTGATGACAACTGTACTGAGATCAAAGAGCTGTTAGATATCAAACACCAAGCCTACAGAGCTCACGTTAAGTACCCCAAGTCTCAGTCAAATATATATATATATATATATATATATATATATATATATATATATATATATATATATATATAGATGACTACTGGAAGAATTAGATGACTACTGGAAGTCCTGGAAGAAGAAACCTTGGCCAAACTGGAAATCTGAGGCTCAGGATAGGAAACAATGAAAAAAACATGCTGAGGCCTTTGTCCAACAGTGGAACACTATAGGCTCTAAATGATATATATATATATATATATATATATATATATATATATATATATATATATTGACGAGAGCACCCAACTATGTACAGCTTAAGGTACGCGTCAGGTGCATGACTTCTCGCTTTGTTTCAAAGCTGATGAGATAGAAAGCTTCGCAGACCAGAAGGACATAAAGGACGTCTACAATGTCTTGAGAGAAGTCTATAATCCCACTACCTCTGGTTTTGCCCCTCTCCTTAGTGCTGATGGTTCTATATTCTAAGACAAGATCCTTGAAAGGTGGACGGAACAATTTGACACTGCACTGAACCGCCCCTCCACCATCAATGATGATGCCATCGACCGACTTCCCCGGGTGCCAATAATGAGACATTGAATGATATTCCAACATTGTAGGAGATCCATAAAGCTATCCACCAGCTACCCAGTATCAAACCACCCGGCACTCCATCCCAGCTGGTGTCTACCAAGATGGTAGCATAATGCTGACTGAGAAGCGATGACATCTGGGAGATGTATGCGATGACATCTGGGAGAGGTTTGCAATGACCAGAATGAATGGGCTTTCAGATGTTCACTATGGCGCCGAAGCCTTTGAAACCAACCGAATTATCAAGGCAAAAAATAAAGACAGCCCAAAAAAGAAAAACCAGTTCCAGCAAGCCCTTACCAGCAGCCACAATTTCATGCCCTTACTGCAGGAAATTCTTTCGAGCACAAATTGGCCTTTCCAGCCACTCAAAGAACTAGCTCGCAGAATGACTAGATGGTCCTCGTTGATCCCAAGAGACGAACCACACATTTACTCAAAGAATAAATTCAGGGGGGGGGGGGGCGCTTCGTGTATTTGCTTTGAATGAATGGGTAAGAAATACCTGAATAGACAATTTTGTATCATGCTCTCAAAGTGCAACATATATCCATATCAGATTCCATACCCGTATGTCCTTAATTCATAGCAAGGGTCCAAACGTGTTTCTGGGAATTTCAGTCGATTATCACCTGTTCCCTGTTACATGTTATTGTCGCCAATGTAATTGTCCTTGTGACAGACCCAAGTTCAATGACATTTGATGATGCCGTAAAACTTGTAGTTAATATAAAATGAAAGAACTGTGACTGTTTCAAAATTAGAAAGTCATGATTAAGATGCCAAATATATATATATATATATATATTTTTTTTTTTTCTAGTTCTATAGTGAGTTTACAGCTGCTTATGAAAAAAAAAGAAACTTATATGTAGGCCTACTGGCAATATAAGCATATATGTTTGGCAGGAGCAAGAACCACATTACCTGGTAAAAATTTAGGATACGATCGATTCCCTTGAACAGAGAAAGACTCGGTATTTGGAGTTGTATATGTGCATGTTTTACTTGATGCAGGTATGAATCCGACAGCGAGAGTTACTATCATTAGGCAGCAGACGACAACCACAGCCCGCAGAAGACATCTCTCCCGTATCAACGACCGCACTACAGTATCCGGTTTGTGTTTTGTGGACGGAAACCGCTCGTTCTCTGTTGGAATATGGTTTGATCCACTTGGGTCCACATAGTCGTACGTAGGATGATTCGGAGTTGTTTCGAGATCCAATGGCGTGTAGAAAGGCTCTGTATCTAAATAATAGGCCGTATTTGTGTAGTTTTCGACTGTTTCTCTACTCGAATCTGAACCGGTTAACCCTGTTAGGGGTGGCTCTTCTGGAAAAACAACCGTGATTGCCTGTAAAATTAACTAATCTACATAAGAATTACTTTAGACTAAGATATCCGCTGCGACTAGAGGCATTACCATGAAATTTATACACAAAAACCTTGACGAGAGAGAGAGAGAGAGAGAGACACAGGGGGGAGGCTGCCGCTTTGACCGTATCTGATTACTGACATAACATGGAAAATGGGGTGAATGTATTTATCTTTAATTATACATATCCTCTCTAGCCATACTACGTTTCGAATGTATTATACAAGTCACCTTAAACATCTTTGCACTAATATCTCAGCTTTAATATTAGTCGGTCACGTACACTGAAGCAACATATTTTATTCATGGGTCACTGCTGTTTTAACTGACTTAAACATCGCCTGTATATTGTTCCTGATATTGCTGACATTATTCATTATTTACAGATAACTCGCCTGGTATATATATGTAAGGTTAAATGTTTACCTGGATTTTCTCTTTTTGTTAAGACTTCTGCGTTGAAATACGAATGCGACGGCGGGTCTTCCACACGTGCCATGCTTTTCTGTATAGAATGGTACTGTAATAGCGAATATATAATGTTAAGGTCAACAGTTCCAAATTATCTTTAGTACGGGATGCGTTGCATATAAAGTGAACAGCGAAAAAGTTGACACATGGAGAGAGAGAGAGAGAGAGAGTGAAAGTTTCCCAGTGGGTGTTCCAACAGTACTGCAGCTGATTATAAGAGTCATTACATTATTCATCTCCGATTTTCAAACCAGGAAATGATGTAGATTTTTTTATTATTTATTTTTATTTTTTGTAGTCAGCGGGTTGACTAAGCTTGTCCTGAATGAGGTCACAAAAGACACGTGCTAAGATACTTCATGGTATTTTACCACTCCATGGGGTAACTGCCTTGATTTTACTGACAAATCGACTTCATAGGATAAAATGCCACTTCATCTCCAAATAAGATATTGTCTGCGACTTCGTGGCATAATGGTACAAAAGTACCTACCTGTCTTGTTGACCCTACGTTTTTTTTTTTTTTTTTTCAAATATTATGTTTTTGTACTGTAAGTATAATCCAGCAAAGTAAACTGTACGTTTCAATTATATTAACAAACTTGTATGAATGAATAAATGGGAATTCTGTATTATCTGCGGTCTTTATTTTGGAAACCTGCTAATATGGCGTGCAGGGGGGGGGGGTTACTTGTTAATTAACGTGGTTGATTTGTGATGTCAACGGGCTTGCAGGATATTGTAGCCGTATGAACGTATTGTCTTCACTGGTGTTCGTCTATGATATGGTATATATATAGAAAAAAAATTGATTAATTGAAAAAGTTATGTTGCAAAGTGACCTTGTGTCTCAAGTATATTGCTTATAATGCTTCCGCCTCACCCGAGCACTTAATTGATATCCTGTTACTTGGTTTTAATGCATGTGAACGATGAGAGCTTAAATTAGCTTGTCCCAGTCACAGCCTGGAAAGTCATTCCACAAGAAAGTTGTAAAGCCGTAGTTTGCAACCACAGAAATATGTAAACGCAATTTGCAACTGTAACGCAATTTCATTTAAGTAAATGAAACGATTTGAAATATAATATATATAGAATTGGGATGGGAATCGCGGATTGCCTCGACACCGTGGGTTGAATCTAGTGTTTGGCCCAGGGTGGATGATTTATTTTTTATAAACGTCGCAATTCCTGCCATCTACCCTGGAACACAAGAAAGAAGGGTGGGGGGAGATTTTTGACAGAAAGCTGTCTATGGTAACACTGATATCAACTGAACTGAATTTTTCAAACCTCCAGTGATTTCATACATACCTTACGTTTGTCTTGTCCTCTCCGATGTTTGCCGCCTGCCTGCCAGCCAGCTAGCGTTCTATATGTGCTATTTCAACTGTTTTCACTATATATATATTGACACGTCACAGGCCAGATCCCAATCTAACTCACTTCCTAAGTGGCCCAGACCACATCCCTATTTTGAGGTGGACTGGTTTTGGATCTGGCTTGTGACACATTTGTATATATATTTATCTTGGTATCGCAGTTGGTATATAAACCACGCACATCCGGATCCTCTAAATTTATACACTGATCCACATGTATTTTTAGACTGTATACAGATAAAAAGTGCCTGTGTTGCTAGTGTTGATGCGAATTTCAGGATGTTGTTAGCCTAGAAGTTTGGCACTTTCTTTCAATAATCCGATCGTTTGTAATACGTTTTAGGCAAGTCAAGCTGATGCGCATGTAAGTATCAATATACGATTTTTGAGCTTTGTTTACTACTTGTATTCAGAACGATCATTTAGTAATCACTTAGATGATATTGTGTAATCAGCATATTTGTCGGTTTCATATGACTTTAGAACTGATGTGAAGATATTTGTCGGCTTCATAAGACTTCTTAGTGTTCTCAAAAAGTAACATTTGAACACGTAAAATGTGTTCTAAATTTACATGTAAGTGTGTTCTAAACAAAACACACACAAAAAAAGAAAATAAAAATGTGTTCTATATTTTACAACGCTTACTGTTCTAGCGTCAGAACACTGTTTAAAGCGTTCTCAAAATGTAACATTGGCACACTTAAAATTTGTTCTGAATTTACATGTAAATTTGTTCTAAACAAAACACAAAAAAGAACATGAAAATGTTATCTATATTTCACAACGCTTACTGTTCTAGCGCCAGAACACTGTTTAAAGCGTTCTCAAAATGTAACATTTGCACACTTAAAATGTGTTCTGTTTCATGTTTACGACGCGTTCCCGAGCTTTAGAGTGTAGAATTAGCCTTATTAATGAGTAATTAATCACTTTCTTGTATTATTATTTTATCATTTTTGAAAGAGCATACAATGTTACAAAACTATACTCACATTACGTTCCGCTATTGTATTGTATTGTATTGTATTGTATTGTACATGCATTGTATTGTAGTGCACTACATGGCGTTGCGTTACGTTGCGTTATGGTTCATTCCATTACATTACATTAAACGTGCCAGCGCCATGTGACGTTATATTCGGTCCTTATGGTGAAGTGACAGAGGAAGACTCTCAGTACAAATACAATGACGCTGCTATCGCTTGGGCCGGAAAGATCACAGGATTCAGGCCTCAAGATGGAGCACTCATAGACGGATATATAACTCATTAAAAATACTAAGTAACGATGCCTCAAACCAAATAATATTTCTTCACGCAAAAAATATATGCATAAACTTTAAAATACCAAATTATTTTATAAATTTGACTATGGGAACTTTGCCAGTGGTTACAAGCACTCATCCTTTCGGTGCCTTTCACCGAAAAAGTTATCTCAAACCTGTTATATATAGAGGGAGAGAGAGTGAAGAGTAAATAACCATACCAAAGACATTCGTAAGCCAAAATAAATGAGCACCTTACAAACAACAACAAAGTTACCACTCCAAAGTCACAGACCATGGTGAGAAGCAAAAATATGACCAACTGTCAGGCCTACCCAACTGCCAGACTCGACACCGAATGATCCTGAATTCACCGGTAGATCAGACCACACTACCCATTTCCAAGGTGTGTGTCAGTACGCATTTCACAGTATCAGACGCGACACCGCTCTTGCCTAGTACGCGATGTGATAGTGACGATTCTCAGCGGGGTTGAAAAGTATTGCATCACCACTCAAAATCTGTTCGGGGCCGGGAGCAAAATTCAGTTTTATAATTGTTGATGCATTATTAAAAATGCAATGCGTAGGTGCATAGGGCAATAAATAATTATGTTATTACAGCCCCCACGTTTCATTTTTAGCATTTCAGGGTGCCGCCATTTTGAATATTAACAGGCTGCACTTATGTTGCTGGCCAATAATTTTCTGTCTTTTCGTCTCTTTTTTTTCCTCTCCTTTTATATCAGACTTGATTTTTTTTACCAAGGTTAGAGAAGGTCACTTTGCAGGTCTCAGCGGCGAAGAAACAATGACATGTAAGTCAATACATTTTATCACAGGAAAGCCCATAGCCAGCAATTTTAAAAGAGGGGTTCTTTTTTGGACAGAGGGAAGGGGACTCATTTGAAACCTTGACCACCCTTGGACCCCTGGGCTACGGGACCGCGGGATGTCAGTGTTTTTACATTTATCAAATGTACCAACAAACTGCAGCAATAGACGTACTACATGAAGTAATACCAAATTCCCCTGCTAGCTCTTTCCAAAAACAATAAAAAACGGTTGTCTAAAAATGAAAATATTCCTTCAGCGAAAAACTCTCTCTGCTTGAAAATCTCGTACACGTGCACCTGCGTCTGGTGACTGTGTGGTGCTCACATTATATGAAATCGTTATAAAGTCACGGATGACAAGGTACAGACTTGCAAGGTACCTGACAATCACTTTGGTTTTTCACGCGCATATATGTTGACATAGTCAAAAACATCTATTCAATCATTTCTTTGAGTCTGCGTTTTGGCCGTATCCGGTATCCGTATCCGATATCCGTAACCGGCTGGCAGTGTTAATGTGCGGAAGTGTATCGAAGCTATGGTCCGGATATTACGTAAATTAAGTCCATCAATTCGCCTGTTCCTATAGAACCCATACAATTGAAACGCTTTTAATTTTATTCTATATTCCAACAATAATAGAAGTTAATTACAGGCGTCTTTGATTTGTATCCTGTTACATATTTGTCTCGCCTTGATCTGAGCCTCAATTCGGCAAATTTTCCATAGCCACACGGTAAATACGTTTTCGATTGACCACGCCTCTGAAGAGAACGCGAGCTAGGCGGCGAATGCCACATTTAAAGAACACAGAAACTCCTTGACAGTATGGCTTGTTGTTCGGCACTAAAACCACTAGGCGCGACCTTTCTTTTCTTTTTGTCATCAGTTAGTGTCACTGTCAGGGAAGGACGGTTCAATGTGACAAGTGGACTGCGGGGAGCAGGGACCGTGGTTGACACTCAGCATGAGTCCAGTGTTGTCGAGTGTGCCGATTTCTGCAGAGGGAAGGATATGTGTTCTGGAGCTAACTACCACAGCGTCAGTAAAAGCTGTGAGATCTATGCTAATGCCAGTGCTGGGAATACCACCGTGGAAAACCGTGATGCTGATGAAGAGGATTGGGTGAATTTAGGTATTTTCTTCAATGTGCCTCGCACACGTAGGAAAAGAGTACATAATATTACAAAACAATACAAACGTAACGTTATTGTATTTTATTGTATTGTATTGCATGGCGTTGCGTTGCGTTAAGTTACGTTACTTTATATTATATTATATTATATTATATTATATTATATTATATTATATTATATTATAAGTGCCAGCGCCATGTGACGTTATATTCGGTCCTTATGGTGAAGTGACAGAGGGAGACTCCCAATTCAATGACGCCGCTATTGCTAGGACCGGAAAGATCACAGGATTCAGAGTTCAACATGGACTACTCATAGACGGGTAAGAGAGCGTTCCCATAAACGCATCGTACTAGCTAGATCGATATAACTCTTGGGGGACTCTCACTTAATTGCATTCAGTATATGTGGCCGCCTAGATACTCGGGGGTGTGTGCCAGACATTGAATCTGATTACGCTTAAAGAACCCTAACTAGAACCCCCGTAGAGCTAGATCGTCCAAGCTAGTACAGTGCGTTTATGGGAACCCAGTCTAAGGTGGTATTTTCAAAGGTAAATAAAACGATTTTTTGCCAGGATAAAAGCTTAGTTTTTATCTGCTTCACTTTGAACTGACTGGAATATCCCAGGAATATATTAATACTTAAACTGCTATTAGTTAAAAAGGCTTGCGATTTGAATAGCGTGGAGGCAAATCATTGCAAGAAATGGAATTCGAAGCGTCAAGACTTGTACAAGTTTAAAAATGGCATGAAGTTCATTCACACCGATAGGGGTCAAAAGATTAATACTTTTCACCAAACCAATATATTTATAGTTTCTTTTCGTTTTGTTTTATTTTAGACTTCAGTTTTTTTACCAAGGGAGAGAAGGTCACTTAGCAGGGGGTCTCGGCGGCGTGGAGACAATAAAGCACTTCGCCCAGAATGAATACATCAAAAGGTGTGTACATTGTAATGTGCCATAAATTTCGAACAGTTAAAAATGATTAAATTTGGGAAAAGATCGTTTTGGAGGAAATTCATGAAATGGAGGTGCTAAGTACTTCCAAACGTTCGAATTTCATGGAATTCTGTCAAATATAACCGGAAATTGTCTGTTCGTCGGTAGGCCTTATGTTACGTTATCCCAACGATCTATTTAGAGTTACAATTATGTATGATAGGTAAATGTCGGTAATTGCGACCCAAGGGATACACGTACTTTCACCTGATCACTGAGTACGGCCCAAGGTGCTAGATAACGAGTGGTACTGTCGGAAAGGGACACGAAACACCATCGTTATCAGTAGTGTCCTTTTTTAAAAGCGATTCTGGCAGCCAAAAACTAGTCGTTTTTCGAAAACGATCCTGGCGCTCAGAACGGGAGTGGACGGGAGAGACAGCCGGCGATAAGCGTCTACCACGGCCAGATAACCTTCACTGTGGATGGCTTAGTGTTACCGTTGCTCCTTTCTGTGCGATGAAACCAAGACGTCAGCCACTAAGTCTGTGGCGCACGTACAGGTAGGCTTCATCGGCGATTAGGGTCTTCTGCGGCTCATTGCCTTTACCGTTGAAGTCGGGCGGAGCTTTACGCGCGTGTGCGTCCTCACCTGGCCGTGCGTGAGTCGGTGTCTTCGACACATACGTAGCCTTCACTGCAGAAGCTGCTTTGGCATTACGGCCTCTCTCCGCCGTGCAGGGAGGCCACTACGGCCGCAGATCGGTATGTGCGGTGCACAGGTAGCCTTCACTACGGCAGCCGAACTGTGTATTACGGTCTCTCCCCGCCGTGCGCTGCGAACACGATGACTGCCGATTGTTGTCTTCAATCAAATATACTAGGTTGGGAGGGGTGGCCCCTGGGTGCAGGGCTCGATATCCACGGTTGCGTTTTGCAACCACTTTTTTCGCTCAGGCAACCCAATCTTGGCCAGCAGCTGTCCGACAATTTCCTTGCAAATAGTTGCGCCAAGTGAAAAGTGTGTACGTTTTGTCATTTAAACCATCTTCAAACAAACACGCTCGCGCGATTGATAGGTAATCTAGACGTTAAAATTAACCCTTTTCATCTTTTGCGGAAACAAGAAGTGCGCGTGACAGGAACCGCACGCCACAGGTGTTATTGTAGTCTTCTGCTGTTTCCAGCATGGCAATGCTAGGTGTAGATGATGTACAAGGTGGCCGAAGCACAGGAATGCGTCAACTCTAGGCAAGAAAACGGCTATTTGGACGGAGAATCGAGCAATTAAATGTTTTATTTCTTAGTTTACAATGAATACGATGCGCTGTAACTTCTTGCTCGGACGCTTAGGTGAAGTCTAGCTGTAGATCTTTATGAGCGCCAAAATAGCCCGATGGCCGATTTTAAGGTGTACGAAATTCACGAAAATCAAGATCGCGCAAAACTGCTCACTGGTCGAAATTCAAGGCACATTACCGTAAAAGTAATAATTATAATAAAATAATAATAAATTTTAATTATAATAATTACAGATAGAGGGTTAGGGTTAGCCCTTACCCTAACTTTACTTCACCAAGTGTGTATAATAATAATAATAATTTTACAGAAATAAAATCCATATTGCAAAGTGTTATGAGAAAAGAATATCTGTGAAAGTACAAGTACAATTAACATTCATAAGAGTCCTTTAAATGAATTACTGATTATACAAACACGTAAGAATAATATGTTATATACTGTAGAACCTTTTCAATCCCTCTCGTCTGCTTTAGATTTGCTACTTCTCCTCATCATTGCATGCACTTTTTTTGCTGTCTTAAACTGTATCTGGCCATTTTGCATATAAACTTTTAAGTGTCATTAAATGCATTGAAAAGTGCTATAGTAAAATTGGAATGTTGAAAAGCCCTCTCCAATGTCTTTAATATGACACTTTTAGGGTCTACCTCGAGACTTTCTACGATGCAGCTTTGCGCGGTCAGGCGGTATTTAATATTCTGCAATTCTTCACCAATCGACAGACCTACGGACCGTACGGAATAGTCGGGCACTTTCCTCAGGCCAATGCATCAGAGGTGGAATTTGAAGCCAGTCGACCTCTCCACCACGTATCTGGAGTACAAGGCACACGACTTTTAAAAGGTTTGGCGTTTCATGTGGAAAAATGTTAGTCTAATAATGATTCGGTCAACCTTTGCAGTAGGATACATACTGTCTCGGCGTAGGGATTTTACGTCGTTTTTCAGCGCCATTACGTTACGTCGCGTTCGTTTTGTGAAACAATGAAAATTTGACCAAAACATGTCAATATTATCTGCACAAGTTTACATATAATACTTCCGATCAGATGGTATATCAATTGTGTTTTTAAGCTTCATATCATTTAAAATATTTTAATTGGAAATGTTTGATTTAACCGAGTTTATGTTCGCCAAACTGGCTAGTCGCGGTGACATTTTCCATGACAACAGCGTAACTTTCATCAGTATTTGCAAACTAAAAAGTGTGCGGGAAATTCCAGAGCATGTATAAAGTGTTTAAAGGCCATCACTGTGTGGCTAAAATTTTATTCAAAGCTAACCTTGTAAACAAATGTTTCAGTTGTTTTTGTAGGAAGATTGGCCAAGGAGAGCCCAACTGAATGTTTGTTTACATTTTCATTTATTTCCACTTTGGCGAATACTTGTAAATGCCCTTTTATATGCTTATTCATTTATTTGACTTTCTGTATAGGTTTAAGTCCCAATTCCATTTTACGTTGTTATGACTGATATTTGTACAAAAACAATATCTAAAGGTTTGATTAAAATTTTCAGTGGTACATGTGCAAGCTTAAATTGGCTAACATATATATTTATTTATGTTATTTGTGTAACGTGAGACATTGATGAGATAAGCGGATTTTTTTCGTTTTCATTGGAAGTAAAGTATTTTAATGAATATATATTTCTTAAAATTGTTTTATTCAACATATACAACATAGTGAAACATGTTGGTCAACTAACTGGCCAGTTATAAAAGTAGAAAAATGATAAATTAACATAATGATAGTAAAAATGCACCTTCAAAAGAAAGGAAGTATGATGTTACAATCTACACCATGTGTTGGATTGTCAATGATTTAAATGCACTTTTTGGTTGTTTCATGTTAAAGAACTTCTCTAGACATTTGACAGATTAAAGAAAAGTAAACATTACCAGTACATTTAATTTGCATTCATTACCAAGTACCACCAGCTTTTTAAAAACACATGGACTGTTTTGTCACAGTGAATACTAGTTCTACGAAATGAAATAAAATGAAAAGAAAAATGTCACAAAACATATAAAAGCTTTGTGACCAAGTCTGATAATGTATGTAATTTCAAAATACAGTGTCATTTTTAACATTAATCAAAATATCATATTCTGTGTGTTCTTTTACAACATTTTGCTCATGAATCTTGATTAATATATAATAAATATAGACATGATTAATGTATAATAAATTGCAAAATGTCTGTTTCCCTTCTTTTCTTTTCTTAATTTTCCATTCCTTTTCTGTCTTTCTGCTTGACTATTGTAAGCCAGCAATTAAGTGGTAAACCATCAGCTATTGGTTTGCAGCAATAATCAACTATTATTGAAAAATTAAAGTGACTATCTAGTCTATTTGCCTTTAGTGTCTTTAGTCCTGTGCAAATACTCAGTAAATATATCTTTCATATCCCTATCAACAGAGATATGAAAACAATTACATAAACAACAATCTCTGAAAGGTTGTTTGATATCATCATGATCACTTTCAAATTATGCAGCACCAATTTTCCCTGCCATTTGCAAAAAAATATTCACCTGCAATGAAAAAAATCACCACTAGTACTGCAACATAAATAATAAGGGACCATGGTTAAAGATAAGCAATTTCATTAACATAAATTGAGAACATGTATAAAGACTTACTACAGTAGACACTCCCCATCCACATATTTAAGGAGGTGCCTCAGACACCGAACAGCGAAACAGACTAAAAGGCGAATCATGTTCACTGGCAATACAGTTAGATTTTCAGCGTCACAGCAATTCATTCATTCAAAATATAAACAGAACACAATGGTAAACTTAGGGTGCTTTCCCAGAGATTTAGATCGATCTAAAGATTAAGTTTTAGATCGACCTAACTCCCTGGGGGTTCAGGCTAAATTGCAGTCAGCCGAGTGGACACCATAGTTAATTACCCCCTTACAGCTTTTAGTAGGCGGGACAGACGCGTAAGCCGGCCAAGCTGACAGTAATCTAGTGAGACTCCCCACAGGGATAGATCGATCTAAAAATCTATGGAAATGGGGTGTTAGTGAGAATTCCTGACGGTTAATTGGTAAAAATATGCTGTGCTTTTACAGAAGAACAAATGCTTATTTATTTTCTAAAATATGAAAGTTCAAGCCACATAACAGTAGATATTTTGCAAAAGTGCATCGTACTCATTTTAAATGAGTCGCCATGCTTGTGGTATTTTGTTACGCGGACGTAACAAATGGACGAAGTAAAGCACTTTTCGATAGTATGTGTCCTACTGCTTGCGATTTCATGTCTCAACGTATTTATATTAGATCACGGAGTTGATAGAAGATTCCCCAAATGGAGTGAATTCGGTCGTGATTGCGGTAGATGTGACAAGTGTGCACTCAAGTTACTCCCGTCTCACCCACTCTCCGCCAGGCCCCCAGGTGGATTTTTCATTGGTTTTTCACAGATACATCTCTGGCTTATTGTGTGCACTTCTGCATGAGAGATATGCATAGAACTGACGACACCACCTAGTTAATTTCTGGTCGTAAACTTCGCCCAACACTTGAATCCAGCACGGCATTGACGTTCTGGAACATTGGCAGATCCAGAGAGAATTAAAATGCCACAATTGTGAAAATAAATTGAAGAAAAATATTTTGTGATTAAAACCGCATTTGGCACTCCGTTACGACAAAATAACAGACTTGTGCTTCTAGTGATGGACAATAAGAAAAACACATTATTAGATTTTTTTATTTTCTGTATACTCTTTGTCTCATCTTAGCTTGACATTCATAAAAATTGCCTTAACTGACAAATTATCAATTAACCTATATACTTAGTTTTCCATTTGGTTTCCTTAATTAAATAGTTGATTCTGACACTACAGGTGTGTAGGAGATATGCGGAATGTATCTGTTATTGTATTACATCAATGTGAAATTGGAAAGAAAGCTAATTAAGACGAAAAAGTCGAAAAGAAAAAAAAAAGTTGACTCAATACAGGCATGTGCGTACAATTAAAAACTGTGCGTTAAACCAGAATGGTGTTTTAGACTAAGAATTTCTATATTTCATAGAGATCAATCCGGCGTATATAAAATGGTTAACTTGGCAAAGTTCACGACTACATCACTTTTATACCTTTTCCTACAAGGATTAACGTGGTATTGTACTAAGTAATCAGATGAACAAGAACGGCATACCAGGGACGTGAGCACGGAACAAAACAATGCCGCAGAAACGAAAAATTGCACTCATAACTTCAAAGTCCACAATAACGTGACGTAAAGAACGTGACGTAACTGCCAGTTAATCAGTCGACTCATTAATTCGCAGTTCACAAATACACCCTCGTCGGGCGAGACACGTGATGTCGTCCCAGGTATAGTTCCAGTCGGCTCGTATTGTACCACAGTCCTGCCCTCTGATGGCGTTGTCTGGATCCGGGCCAAACCACGTGTCCACAGTGGTATTCAACACAGCCCATACGAAGTGTCCTTCTGTCTGGGTGTCAGTGGCGCCGATCCACCAGGCAGGGGGAGATGTGATGGCGGCTGGAAGGAAAAAAAGAAAGGATGAATATATAACGGGCGATTAAAGGGGTTTGCACTAAAAGTGAAGTGACATCTGCATTTTGAAAGCATATTTCAGACAAGCATATTGTTGAGTGGGGACAGTTTGACGAACAGGGACCCAAGCATAGGCAAACAAGTAAATTATATTACTTTTCATAGCATGACATTCAGTTGGTTCGCACATGAAGGGTTTATTTAGTGTGTGTGTGTGTGTGTGTGTGTGTGTGTGTGTGTGTGTTAAAACGCCTCTGAATGCGCCCAGTATCAAGTGCATTCTGGCTTAAATGAATCTGGGTTTTAGTTGTTTTACCAACTAGATAAACTTATAACGTTGAATAAAAAGGCACGTATATGGTTTTATTACTTATAACTATTTAGTTTTAATTTTTCCTTATTTTTAATACGTTTATATTTGATATGCATTTCTGCTTTTTGTATTTCTTGTATTTTTAAAAGGTGTGTCGGACCACACCTGCTGTTTTGTGCAGGTACTTACCGAAGTTGTTTAGTCTTAAGATATTGATGATGAATTCGTTCTCCATACGGGACTCAATGGCCACCAAGTTAGCCCCTAGCTTCTGGCAAAATGTTTGAGATTCTGTCCAATTTTGGTTAGTTGCCGAATTGACAAAGTAGCAGGAATTATTGGAGCTGATAAAGTTTGGGGGACATTCTGAAAGAGAAAAAAATATATATTGCATATATGATATGATATTATTTTCTCAAAAAATAAATTGAAGGAGGATCTTATTTAGGCATTCATGTACTTGCCTTAAAGGAATAAGTAAGAAATACCTTTTAAGGTTTCTTAAAAGAAACAACTTTATCTGAGGATCTTCTGATCCACGGATCAATTGTGAGGACCCTACATGACAGAAAAGACGGCTAATCCGCTAATGTTCTCCCCGCTTCCACACTCACCGTCCTTGCAGGGGTCTAACAATGAAACATCGCAGCCATGATTTTTTTAATGGCGCGTGTGGAGGCCAGTAGACCATCGGCGGATTAGTCTGCTCTTCTTCCATATTTTGATCCGTGGATCAGAGGACCCTCAAATCTTCTGTTCTGAATGGCTTCAATGTAAGGCTGGGTTCCCACAGATTTAGACTGGGTTCCCATACTTAGATCGATCTATCTGGATCGACCTAACTCCCTGGGGGTTCACGCTAAATTGCTATCAGCTCAAGAGGCTTAAATGTCTGCCACGCCTACTGAATCAGCTAGGGGGAAAGATAATTACCCCTAACAGCTTTACTAGGCGTGATAGGCGTTTAAGCCGGATACTTTGATTGCAATTAAGTGAGACTACCCAGGGAGATAGATCGATCCAAATTTCTGTGGGAATGGTCCCTTAGATCGATCCATCTGGATCCACCTAACTCCCTGCGGGTTCACGCTAAATTGCTGTCAGCTTCTGGGAGCCGAGTGCGCACAAAAGTTAATTAGACCCTTACAGCTTTTAGTAGGCGGGACAGACATTTAAGCCGATTAAGCTGACAGCAATCTAGTGAGACTCCCCAGGGGGATAGATCTATCTAAGTATCTGTGGGAATGGTCTCTAAGTGTCCTCTTGAGAGCACCAAATTCAATGACTTTTGATGATTTCGGAACACATATTTCTACATATGTAGCTAGATTTGTATTAAAGTCAATGTAATCGAAAACTTTCAAAATTTAAGTTTACAACTGCGTATTGAATAAAAAACATAAGAAACTTATACGTAGACCTACTTGGAATATACTGTACGCATAAGTTTGGTAGGGACAAGAACACAACTCACCCAGTAAAAGTTGTGTAGACGATCGATTTGTGCATGTACATGTGTGGCTTGTTACATAATACAAGATAAATCCGACAGCGATGGTAAGTGTCACTAGGCAGCAAACGACAACCGCAGTCCGCAGACGACACCTTTCCTGTATAAGTGACCGCATTATAGGATCTGGCGTTTTCTTTGTGGACGGAAACCGCTCGTTCTCTGTTAGAATATGGTTTGATCCACTCGGGTCCACATAGTCGTACGTAGGACGACTCGGACTTGTTTCAGGATTCAGTGGCGTATAGAAAGACTCTGTATCTAAATAATGGACCGTATTTGTGTAGTTCCTGTTTCCTGTTTCTCTGCCCGCTTCTGTACCGTTTAAACTTGTTTGGGGTGGCTTTTCTGAAAAAACAACCGTGTTTGTCTTTAAATGATTACTAATCTAAACAACAATTACTATAGACTATGATGTCCGCTGCTACTAGAAGCACTGTAATGAAATTATATATAAAAAATTTGACAAGAGAGAGAGGGAGAGAGAGACGGGGAGAGAGAGAGAGACGGGGAGAGAGAGAGAGAGAGAGAGACGNGGGTTAATGCTCCTTCTCTGTACAACCCTATGTAACTTTTGAAGTAGAATTGCAGTAGGCTCTACTGCATTTCTACTGCAAATATGCTCCACACCACTACTGCGTTAATGCTTCTTTGCTACTTCGATACTACTGCATTTTCGTGCGGGTAGGCGCTCCAAAATCGTAAAACGAAGTTAAAAATGTTATATTGGCCAAGTTCGCCCCCTGTTAAGAATGTCCTCGCAGCATTGTCTGCAGTTAACCTTCCTACGATTTTCAATGTATTTTGCAATATAATTTTTATTCCTCCCGATGAAGAATTTTATTAATAATGAGTGGGGGAGGGTTTGAAAATCCCCTTGGGGCCACATATAACACTATAAATGCGAAGGGAATCCCCCTTACAATGACGGCAAAATGAATGTTAATCAAAGGAAAGTCCGATGGATTTACTTTTAAAAACATACAATCAACAGAATATTTCTCATATAATTTCTCAAAACAACACCAGAAAGCAAATTAAATCAAAACAACCAGACGGTAAAAACCGGCAGGCTTTGTCAATTTCACCATTTTTTTATTTCAAACAGAGTACTTTTCGCGCATGCGCAGTAGTTTGAGACCTGTGCTCTTTAACAATAGAAACCAATCCTATGCCCTTGGGTAAATATCGTCCCTGATTTTCTCTTAAACTTCAGCTACTACCGCAGTATACCCTCTACCAGGGTGGCAGATATTATAGACACATTTTCCACATTGACAGAGAACCAGATGACCGTCTATTTATCTAAAGACATATGTGTGAATATCTTGTGAAAATCAGTCTGTGGCCCTGGTAGAGGATAACCACGAGGCATGGCTTTATTTTCCAAGGTTAATGATAATGAATAAAATAAAGGCGTTGTATTAGACTAATACGCTGCCCTACCATTATAAGCATTTGTGGTACCAGATTTGAATTATGAAAAGCTACCGATACATTACATAAGATTTCGTGCGTGTTTCAGCCCTATGGACTTGAGATCATTTTAGCGCTGTCACGATTATCCAGTTATGTTCAACTATATGCACAACTTCATGCAAGAGAAATGATGAGTCAGGCACGTAAAGACATATGGCCGTGGAAGGGGGGAGGGTCAAAAGGGAAAAAGTCCGCCCTGAACCAGAATTTAATATAAACTCTTAGTCATTAACATAACTACCTTGTTTCAGTATAAAAAGATTCACTTTTTTTCTGAAAAAAAAAAGAAATTTGCTGGCTACAACCCAGTGACCGCATGTCATAATAACTTAATCTTATCTCTAAACATCATCTTTGTACTTAAACAACACGTTCATTTTTCTCTTTGTTTCAACAGTTCCTTCTAACTTTCAGAGAAACGGTTTGGGAGGAAGGATGGAACACGTATGGGACTTTTTTTTATTTCTGTCATTTAGGACGTTCTGTTACGCAGACACCCCTCCGCATACTTCATATACGTTTTGACGCTTCCCCGCGATTCCTTCACGATATCCACAAGCTCAGTATGAAGATGTACAGTTCTACCATACTTGAACATGTAACTGTATCCTAGCAACGAGAGGGCCGATTGGTCGTATCTATGGTTACTCAAGCTGGACCCCGCGGGGGAGATACAATCTCGATGTAGCGCGCAGTCTACCCATGGAATCAGTACGTTCTCGTAGATGTCCCCTTGTCTTATCCAGCCGTTCAAACCTCCAGCAATCGACTGCTTTCCTACGTAGGGTTCTTTGGAAATGTTGAAAAATGAAAACATTCCAGGGCGTGTCCATTTTGTCACTTCACCATCCCCCCACACGCCGACATATATATAGCCGTCTTTTTGAAAAAGAGAGGTCATAGTTTGCCTAATGCTTCCACTGACGTGGCTGCCAGCGTCCACCCAGAGCACTGCCCCCAATTCATCCACCATCTGCTTGATGATGACGGGTTTAAAGGCGTACGTGTGCAGGTCGCGCAGATGAGGGGGTAGCTTTCAAAGGGAAACTTCCTGTAGGTCACGCTGGGCCAGCTTTTCACGGTCTTCACTTCCTCGGCGGTAAGGCCCAAATCCCACACCACGACCTTGAGCGTTGGTTCCCAGAAACAGAGGGCTCCCACGTGGTTGACGAGAGCCGGGGAAAAGAACCTGTGATCCGCGCCTGTCACGATTGTGAAATTGTTTATTTTCGGCGCAGCTCTTGCGCATGGCGGATTGGTGCCTGACTGGATATCTGAAAATAAGAGAAAAGAAAAAAAAATCATTATGATTTTTACAACGATCAAAACACCCCTTCACTTTGAGTAGTTTTGTTCTATCAACCATCACCACTGTCTGGAACCGCGCAAATTTAGATGTAAACGTAATTTAGAATTAGGCTCGAAACACGGACACCGTTGGAAACTTTTAGTTAGGATAACGCGTTATTATAAACTACCAAATTCGCGGTCGAAATCGTTACGTCTAAACGCTACAGAGGAAATCCACACTGACAAGAATGACCAGTTTCAATCGTTTAATGTGAACTCGTTGCCTGCTCAGGTACATTCTCCCTCTATATTCAATATTACACTCTTTAGTATGCACTCCCGCCAATGGCTTCATACACTTCCTTATCACTGGCTTCTTAATGAGACAGGTAACAAGCCTTACTCAGCCTCTTCAGACTTTACCTAACGTATTATGAGGAGTTACAGCCTACAGTAAAAAGTTATTACGTGAAGTTACCGAAATTACCTGTGAATTAATAGATGTCTCTGACACCCCGCAATCATGGACTGATCGAGCAATGATTTTTTGGTAGGAAAAAACTGCTTTTTTATCTCGAGGAAAATAAATTTTATTGAGTAATTTCATACAGAGGACCTTAAGGTGCATAATTAGCTATCAGCCGCCAGGAGTGTCTTTGGGCTGTGACAGAAATAGATAAAAAACTTTCAAAAAATTTTGTAACAACCTTCCGAGACCCCTGGCGGAGGATAGCTATTAGGCGAGCCACTGCTTGGTATGGTGCATTTTCATGCGAATTTTTAAATCTGAATCTCGATTGTAACACACGCCCAATATCAGAGTCACACGCACACACGCACACACGCGCGCACACACACACACACACACACACACACACACAAACAAACGCGCGCGCATGCTATTATTGACACCATCATAGCTCCTTATTCAACTTATCATATTTACTGTTTGTCGCTAGCAGAAGCTTACCTTTATGCAGTACCAGTCGCTCCTCTCCAAGCCACACAATGTTGGTCACAACCAACAGCACAACTAACACAATCAACAGAATCCACTGACGGCTCATTTTGGTTTCACTTGACCTTGCCTTTGTTTAGTTCACCTTTATTTGTTGACCTGGAAATGAGCGGTAGAATACTTAAGTCATGGTTAGAAGTAAGACGAACATGGAAGAGGACAAGCTGGGAGCACAGACTAGAAAATAATATACTAGTTGGAGTTATATAAAGAAATAACCCTTTACTTAGGAGGGCACGCCTAGAACTTAAAGGCCTACTGTGCTCTAGGAACACATAGCGTTCACTGCTTTTTTTACAGTATAAAAACTATAAATCGACGTCAAAAAATTGTTCTTTTTAAGTTTTAGAGAGAAAAGATGAGATTTAGATGAGAAAATTCTAATTGGTCAGTTTCTAGTGACGTAAGATGGGTAGTAGCTTCCCACAGCTGTACTAGTAATAGTATATACTATGCAGTAGGTGACTAAACATCCAGGTGTCAGAAAAACAAAATGCCGCAAAGTTGTGTTGCTCCCGGGTGCCGTAATGTAGGTTACGATAAGAAAGACATCTGCTATTTTATCCTGCCTGCGGATGCCGCAAAACGTAAAATTTGGCTCAATTCTCTGAAGTTAAAAAATCCCAGCACAGTGTCAAAACACGCGACGATCTGTAGCGACCACTTCGAGCCGGAATGCTTCGTACGTGACCTGCGAGCTGAATTGTGCGGTGGAAAAGCACGGAGAAAACTAAAAGATGATGCTGTACCCAGTATATTCGATTTTTCGGAGTACCAAAATGCGACAGTAAATGCCAGAGCGCTGCCGACGAGAGTCTTACCTGTAGGATGTGTGCATGATGCAGCCGTCGAAAGGAAGAAGAGAGCAGCTTCTAGAGCCCAAAAAA